CACACACACACACACACACACACACACTCTCACACACACACAAAAAAACAAACAACAACAACATCAACAACAACAACAAAAAAAAAACTGGGGGGGGGGGGAGAGGAAGATATAACAACCACAACTTTTTTTTTGAAGTTCTTACAACAAGAAAATGGAGGGGACACACCTGGGAGGGAGGGGGGAGAGGGAGGAGGGAGGGAGGTTTTGGTGATGGGACACAATAAATAACTACATTGTATATTGACAAAATAAAAATAATAAAAAAAAAAGAAAAGTGCATGATTATACTCTATCATGGTGACATACATTTGCAAGCCTTCTTTATTATGCAGTGCTTTAGTGATAATGTAGTCAAATTTCATGTAATGTAATTCTCTGGGGTTTTTTTTTCTGTTATAAAAAAATTTACTGTGTATGTTAGTTATTAAACTTCCATTCTATACTCAGAGCTCTCAGTTCTCTTATTTTCTCAGTGTTACCCTTCTAAAATATCTTTCCAGACATTTAAACTCACTTGGGTAGCCCATCTATGTGACCCACAGTGCAAAATTGTTATCTAAAGTATTTGTGATATTTAAAAGCCAGTAAAGGAGAATGTGGGGGCAGAGTTAGCACTGGTGACACTGACAGCTGTCTTCTTAAGAAACTTCCATTTGTTTTGACCCATCTCTGAGAAAGAACAAAATACATCCTATGCAGATGCCATTTTCTTCTTTTCAGATGACATTTAGCTGTTGTGCGGGTGGCTGCTGGCTACGTGTTTAGTAAAGAATCTATGGAGAGAGACTCTTCCTCGTTTATTTTTCAAAAAATTGAGAAGGCCAGAAATTGACATTAAAAAATGGTTTGGATTTATTCATAGAGGAAGCAGTACAGAGGGAAAACTGGCCAATTCCCATGTGTGGCTGTGCCTTGAGCCTATTAATTGTGGAAAATGCTGACATGTACTCTTAATAAAAACATTATAATGATAAATGTAGAATTCCATAATGCTTATCAGGTACCATATGGGCAAAGTTGCAATTAATAGTTGTTTGCAAATGAAAAACAATATGCATGAATACTTATATATTTCATAGTCCTATGATCAGCTTTCAAATTACTTTTATAACCAATTTATGGTGAATCATTAGTTTGTGTAAATTAGACTCAAACAATTATACATTTCTTATAATATGAAATATACTTAAAAATCGAAATGATTTTTATTGTAAGATATTCTCATTAATTTCTGTATGACCCATTGCATAACAATTAGCTAAAAAGACATATTTAGTAGCGCCAAGAAAAATCTTCAATTTGAAAATGCTGTTCAGATATATAAAGTCAAAGAATATCTAGTAACAGGAAAAAACCAGAGTAGCAGCCAGCTTTTCATACACTCAATAAACCAATGCAGGTTTTACTAAGCCTTCTTTTAAGTTTGCTGAGGAGAGAGACAAGTTCATAAAGTGGTCAGACTTCTTATTATCACACTGCTGGAAATATACTGTAAACAATGAAATTGCCTAAGAATTTTGGACTCAGAATTTTATGATTGACACTCAGAGTCAGTGCCTGCATTTTAGATTCATCTCAGAAGCAATTCAATAATCAACAGAAATCAGAAGCCCATTCACTGAACCCCAGGCAGAAAATTAGGGATAGATTCCTGGTTTGCTTTGGATCAAAGGTATGTCCGATAATGTAAAGCTAAGGGAAAAGACATAACTGTGACCTGAAATCCCATATACAAGAAGCAAGTTGCTATGGATTTGGGAGAGGTGTGAAGAGTTATGAGCAATCCACAATTGATGGGAAAATAGTAATGTACTTAAATGGAAAACAAGTGGTAATGGGAAAATTTAATAGGTTTTAGGTCTTTTTCTCCTTCTGAAGTGTCTTGCATCAATGATTTTGAAAAAATCTGAACAAATTCAAATTTTACTGTAGCACTACCCATTTTAATTTAAATAGCATAATTCCTTTTTAATTCATAGCAACAGGTAGGCAGCTTTTTCCTCTTTATCTCTTACATTTAAATTTCATGCTTTCTGTTTACAATAAGCAAGAGTCAGGTTATCCTTGATTTCTGCCAAGATGCCAAGTTAACTTGGCCAATGTTGGATTCCAGAAGGCAAAGAGCCTTCTTCCCTGAAGCAATTCCTGATTAAGAAGAAAATGAGATCTCAGGTGTATTTTTAGCATCTGGAATTCTTAAATATACATTTATTCAGTTCTGACTTTGGGGACCCTGTGGCTTGTTACGTTTTTGAGCGTGTAAAGTGAGTAGCACCAGTGAATCATTATATTAACTTCAAACGATTCTGTTGCCTTTCCTTCCAGCCAGCTCCCAGTAGGTCAGGGTCATGTAACTTCATGAGAGCATACGTCTATCTGCATTTGTATTCTCCAAATAGCCATGACAGTCCTTGATGGCCAGGCACTGCAGAGAGGAGAAAGAATTCCTGAGAGAGGACATTTGTGAAAATGTGACAGGGTAGTATTTCACATTCCTGGATGGGCCTGACATGTGGAGTCCACGGTTTTCTGGGATGGTGGTGGTTTGCAAAGAGTAGTCTTGCTGCCAGACTCTGATACCTCCTCAGATCCTGGCAGACCACATTCTTGATGTCAGTGCCTAAAAATACTCTTTTCTATTGCCACAATATTTATGCCTGCTTTGGAGCAAGCTGCTCACCAGCAATTCTGAGAACTAATAAGGCGTCCTGGGGAAACGAGTAAATCTTCCCTTGTTTTTGACATTTCTCTCCATTGCCTATACACCCTCCTCAGACTTCTCACCTCTTTTTATTCTGCTCCTATAAATTTAACTAAACCCACAACATGATATCTTCATCGTATTTTGAACTACTTTTTTTTTTACAAATTCAAATTTCTATTTTTAAAAAAAGCCTATATAATTCCAAAAGACTCACTAGGGTACTACTGAATACTAAGGCCTTTAACCAGGGTGACTGTACATTGGGGAAAAGGAAATAATCAGACTTTAGGACGGTTGCTGGGCACTGGCTCCAAATTGAGATGAATTTCGGGAGACCCAAAACACCATTGTCATAGTAGAGACTTATAGATAAAGTCAAGTGATCAATGGAGTTTTAGCTCAGTTCCCTCTCGTGTGGGTCTGGTGGGTCCCTGAACCCATCCTGTGGTTATTTCCCTAGTTCCAGACTACATAATTGGAATAGACATACTCAGTAACTGGCAGGATCTCCACATTGGGAATTCTGAGAAATATATCTAATGTAAGAACTTGGTTTGATCTGTATGCTATTTTTTAATAGCTGTATATTTTAGAGAAGAAGATAAATCATTGGTTAGCACTAAGGGAACTCCCAGTAAGTAGCTGCATTGCTTTGGCCAGGGCCCTCAGCCCACCTAGATGTGTCTCCTGACCTAGAACATAAGGAAGTTATGATAGCAGTTTTTCAAGTTTCCTTCCAGCTCTAAATCCTGACCTTTTCATTCACTTACAACTCTTTTCTTGCAGTATTTTTTTCTTTGAGTAGTATTATAACCAAGTAAAGATGGCCTTGGCACTCTGCACATTTTTAGTGATAGATTGTCCAGTAAAAGCTGATGTTTTCCTACACTTGTTTCCTTCCATGTGCATCAAATTTACCTTTTTCCCTTTCACTCCCTTCCAGCTCCACCTCTTCATTTTGGAGTTCTTTTTTGCTTGATATGAGAAATGTGCATTAGTTAGTCTAATGGATAATTACATCAAGGGGTAGAAGATCTCAATTTCAAATATAGAATATTAGCTAAGCATTAACTGAAACTAGAATAACGTAATTACTTTTTTTCCTTTTAACTTTTTTGTTGTCATTGTTCTGCATGTACAAGGCTGATTTTTCATTAACTTTTAATGCTATTTGTAACCCTATTCCACTTTGTATTCAATGTAGCTTTGAATAGAGCT